AATTTTTATATTTTTATTGACTTCAGAGAGGAAGGAAGGGGAAGAGAGAGATAGAAACTTCAATGATGACAGAGAATCATTGATTGGCTGCCTCCTAAATCCTCCCCACTGGGAATCTAGCCTGCAATCTGGGCATGTGTCCTGACCACAGAATCAAACTGCGACCTCCTGGTTCATAGGTCAACCACTGAGCCATGCTGGTCAGTCTGTTTGCCCAATTTAAAAATGGGTTGTCTCTTTACTGTTGAGTTCTTTATATATTCTGGAAACTAGACCATTACCAGATATAGCTGATAAATTTGTCCCATTCCATAGATTATCTGTGATTTTCTTGACAGTGTCCTTTTTTTTGGGGGGGGGGGGGGCGCCTCAATTAGAAGAATGTGGGCCACCTTGATAGTGTCCTTTGAAGCACAAAAGATTTTAATTTTTATGAAGTCCCATTTGGGAGAGGGAGAAAAGAAAGGAGAGGGAGAAAGAGAGGTAAAAGGAGAAAGGGAGAGGAAAGGGGAGGAGGGAGAAACATTGATATGAGAGAGTCACATCAATTAGTTACCTCCTGCACTAGAACAGGGAATCAAACCTGCAACCCAGATACATGCCCTTGACCAGGAATTGAACCTGTGACCTTTTAGTGAGTGGGCTGATACTCTAACCACTTAGCAACACTGGGCAGGGCACCAATAGCTTTTATTTTCTTCTGGTTTTTAGTTCTTTAGAATTCTAGTCCAAAGTGGGGAGTGTACTCAGGATCACCACTAATTTTAAGGCCCTGTTTTTGGTTTTTGATCCCTAAAGTCTTCCAAGTTTCCTTCAAATCTTTTAAATATTTCAGCTGTCTCTTCCAGAATTAGCATATGTCCCTGAAGTTTCTGTTCTTTTGTACCTCAGCTTTTTTATTTTGTTGCTCTATTATTCTTCAATTAAACTTTATATTATCTATTACATAATATATATGCATATACACATTTATGTATACATGTGCACATATACACTGAGTGGCCAGATTATTATGATCTCTGAACGCATAATAATTTGGCCACTCTGTAGACTGACCACAGAGTTGGGATTTTAAAATAAGGTTTTCCTATGTATAAGAACGGCATTCTGGGTAGAAAGAAGCAGAGGACTTACTAGCCAGAGGCTGGGGGCCACTAACTCTGGTCCTATGACATATCAAGATTTGCAAGCTTTCACTTACATATAAGTATAATGAGTGGCCAGGTTATTATGTGTTCGGAAATCATAATAATCTGTCCACTCAGTGCATATCTATCTATACATACACACATACATATGTGTATATATGTTTAATATATTTCTTTTTAAATGCTGTATGCCAACATAGTACTTATAATACTGTTAACAGAAAGAGTGTAGGGCTTAGAACAATGTTTTTTATGCAGAGGAGATTTAAGGTGTCTGGAGTACGAAAAATTTTGGAACATTAGCACTGTGGGTTAGCATATCTGATTTTATGAACTGAAAAAATTCAAGAATGAGCTGTAGTTGCTCTAAGAACTTATAAACTTCTCAGTCACTCTTTTCTTAAGACGTAGCCCTTTGGTACCCCCTAAGTGGGTTCTAAACTCTGATCACTGTCCATCTAGAAAACACGAAGATTATGAAAAGCACTCCTCAGGAAAAACTTCTTGAATGGAAAAGGACTTCCAAAAATCAGTTACTCCATTAAGCAAGAAGTACACTGCAAAAATGGTCAAAATCCACTTTTTTATAGTTACTGATATTAATCGGAGTCTTGCAACAATTTGAAGAGCACTTATTCAATAAAAATGGCTGAGACTATGATTTCCAGGTGTTTAAACTTGTTCTATGAAGTAGTTTTCTTTGAAGTAGTTTTTACACTTTGCAGCTTCACTACTGGTAATGTGAAAACAAGCTATCAGTCCCTGGTGGGGGGCAGAACAAGTTCAAGACATATAAAGAAATATTTGTGAAGTCATTAGCTGAATAAGGTAAGCATTAGGAGATTTCAGTGGCTATGCACAGTTCAGATTACAGAGATCACAGAATCAGGCCAAGAAACTCATCAAACAAACAGGATTCACAACAATTTTTGGGAGTGGAGATACAATAATTTATAGAGTTGCCACATTATACTAAAAATGTCCAGTTTCCAATAAAAATTTCTGAGGCATGCCAACGAAGTATGGTCCATACACATGAAAAAAAAAAGTAGTCAATAAAAATTGTCACCAATGTTGGTTTTACTAGACAAGTACTCTAAACCAACTATTTTATTTAATGTATTTATTTATTTTATTTTATATTATAAAATTCAACTTATTTTCTACATAACCTCCAATCAATCCTAAAACAGTATCAAGCTATTTGAGGGACACCATAAGATATATTACTCTAAAAAGAAACAAAAATAATAATAATAAATAACATTCCCTTTCTTTATTCTCTCCATGAGTGGGGTCACACTCAACATGAGTGGGGTGAAGGAAGGTCTCGTTAGATAGGTATTTTCCCTTTCTCTATTGATCTAGAGAAGGGGCTGGGGTGAAAAGGACGCAGACATAACAATAACTTTCCCAGTCCTTTAAAACTGTCTCTCACTAGCTAAACCAACCAGAAACTAGGCAAGGGAGCCAATGATGTAATCAACATGGGCCAACTTTCCAGGCACAGAGGAGGGTGCAAAGAGCAAATAGAAAATATTTCACTTTTCTCTCCAAAACAAAAATCACTATGTTCTAAAGGTTATAAAAAAGAAAAGAAAGTTTAAGAAATTCAAGAATAATGATCAGAGAAAAATATGAGGCAGGATAGCAAAAAGGTAGGAAAATTCCTTGGCAAGTGGAATGGAGAAACTGAGATAGCCGAACAAACTAGAAGAACAATTTCAGCCAGATCCAGGTCACTAGCGTGGAAAGCCCCAGGTGCCTACCAACAGGCAAAACTGGCTCCAGATCTTGCCCCCAGCTGGCCTTTCCTCCCTGGCATTAAAAAAAAGAAGAAGAAGAAGAAGAAACTAACAAAAAAACCACGATTCTTTTCGTTGTTTCCCACACATGAGTGTAACACTCTTTCCTACCTGATGCGGTGGTTCCTGGATCAGGACTGCAATGGCAGGTGTCAGAAGCTGGGCACGTACTCATTTGCTAGAGCTGCTGTAATGAAGTGCCACTAACTGGGTGGCTTAAACAACAGAAATGGACTATCACCCAGGCCTCTAGGTTAGAAGTCTAAACACAAGGCGCTGATAGGGTTGATTCCTCCTGAAGCTTTTGAGAGTCTCCCTCCTAGCTCCTGGTTGCTCCAGGTGTTCCTTGGCTTGTAGACTGTGATCTCCCTGTGCCTTCACATTGTCTTTATTCTACATGTGTTTGTTTCTGTATCAAAATCAAAATCTCTTTTCATAAGAACATAGTCATATGGATTAGGGCCCTCTCTAATGACCTCATCTGAATCTGATCATATGTACTAGTGAAGATCCTATTTCCCAATAAGGTTACATTCACTGGTAGGACTTCAACATCGTTTGGGTTTGGGGGCACAATTCAACCCACAACAATCTCTACACAGGAAACTATATTTTAAAATATTTATGTTAGAGTTCCTAAGGCCTGATGATGTTTCCACCCTCTCTGGCAAAACTGAGGTTTGCTGGCTTCTCCAAATGTTAGGAATATTCAGAATGAAACTACTCAACAAAAAGAATGCAGTGGAACTGATACTTCATGATTTTCCAGGCTGAGGTATAAAAGGCAACATGACTTGCACCTGTTCTCTCAATTTCTTGGAACACTCATGGCTTGAACCCAGATATTAGGCTGAGGAAGCCCAAATTAGCAGATGGAAAGACCACAGGAGGAGGCCCATATGGAGAGAGAGTAGAGCCCACTGTGCCCTGTCCAACTGCCTGACCATGATGCCATAAATGCTCCCTGCATGTCACTAAGTTTTACAGTAATCTGTTACACAGCCATCAATAACCAAACAGTGCTCAAGTAATTTGCAACCCAGAGGGAAAGTTACACAAGGATCCAAGTAATAAAAGACATGATGTGCTAATTACTACACAGAATATAAACTAAGGGCCTTGGGAGAGAAACGTAAAGATAAAAGTCTAGCTAAGGGCTGGAGCAGTGGGGGGCAAAGGGAAAGGCTGAACAGAAGTAACTTTCAAGCATGGGCCTAAAAGACAGACAGAACTTTGAAGGAAAGCAATCACAAGAAAAAGAAAGGTGTGTTAGAACCTGGTAGCAAAACAACATATCACATGGAACTCCTTAGAGACAAAAAATCAACTTATTTTCTACATAACCTCCAATCAATCCTGAAATAGTACCAAGCTATTTGAGGACACCATAAGAAATGTTACTCTAAAAAGAAACAAGATAGAATACTAGAGACTGACTTTAAGAACATGAAATTATTAAATTTCTTGCTGGTTAATCTTCATGCAAAGGGCTAACTCTGACCCTAGCAAATGAAAGTTACTGTATCAATGCTCCCTTTGATGTATTGGCCAAGGAAAAACCCAGTATTTTGCTTGTTCATTTTCCCACACCCTGTATCAGCTTAATGATAGTAATTCTCCAGGGTTAGCATTCCTTTGAGTTCTAGGGGTGATTTAGAGGGAGGCATTTGTCTTGAACCAAAATGAAAAGAGCCAGCAGCGCCTAATGACAGCCATAAAGCTGAGTAAAGTCATATACTGCTTTATTGCTGATATTTATTCTCAGTTTCCCTGATAAGGGCATGAAGTCGATGTCTATAGGCATCAGGCTGACAACATGGGAAATAATCACTACTTACCAAACCAATTCAGAGATTTAGCTCTTTAAGCTGCTGTGTACAAGCAGCAGCCTGAAGGCAGTCCTGTTCAACATGACTAACTCTTCAGTCTGTTCAAAGAGACTCACCTTCAATGTGGGATCCCTTCCACTAAGTCACACTTCCTCTTAACATGCTCAGGTAGGCAGTCCTTCAAAATCCCAAAACTTTAGAAGTGACATTGTCCTCACCTCATAAAACTTTTTTAAGGAACCCACCAGGCACAGCTTCAGGCTATCCACAATCTCTTGATGAGGCATCTGGAATACTACTCGTGAATACCATTTTGTGAGGGTGCTGGGGTGGAGACAGTAAGAAAGAGAAAGACAAGAGGATAAACACTCTCACAGAGGAAGGCCCACAGGCTGAATGTTAGCACACACAGGTTTCTATGCACCAATCCAACTCCAAGTAGTAAATGCATTTATGTCACATGTAAAAACACAAAGTGATGTGGGGGAAAATATAAGTATAATTGTGGATATTTGCTATAAAACTGCTTCCAGTTAAAAAAATGGGACAACATTGATATCCACCAACTGAGGACTAGTTAAGTAAATAGTGCTATGGTATACAATAAACTCCATAAAACAGTTAAAGAGAATTTGCTTTTATTGATGGGACACTGTCCAACATACACAGTTTAAGTACAAAAATCAAGCTGAGCAAGAGTATACACGGTACCATGCCACTTGTATATCCATACATACAGCACCTATGTGTGTTAGTAGAGAATCTGAAAGTACATATACATCAAACCTTAGGTAATGGCTGAAGGAAGATGAACCATGAAAAACTCACTTCCTAATTTCTAAAGATATTTGCATGACCATGCCTTATTTTTACAATCAGAAAAAATAAACAAAAAACTCCCCTTACTTCTGGAGTTAAAACATAATCACCGACAAGACATAGTCCCCATTCTTAAGGAGACGGCACTGTAGCCAGAAAATAGACTTACACATATGACAAGTTTGGTAAATAGACTGGTAAACTAATTTCACAGGAAGATAGAGGAGGAAACTCTTGAGTGTACTTTTATGTATTAGGTAAAAGGCAATACACTATAATACAAATACCAAGAAAACATTTGCTGTATTTATAATAAGATTAGGTATCAAAATGGCACAATGAAGAATACTTACAGGTTGATGCTTGCCACAAAGCCAACCACGGAGCGCATGCCTTTGCCAGGGTCATGGTAAACATCCATCCCGACTACCATTAATTGTTTCTGTGTTAGAAAACAAAAAAACTAATCAAAATCCCCAAGTGATCCATCAACCCATCCTTAATTATTATCTGAATCTCAAAGCAACATATGAAAATAAATTCTGGGAAAGGAAGATAAATTAGAATCCGTCAGTGATCTAGACCAGGGATCAGCAAATGATTTCTGTAAAGAGTGAATGAGCCGAAACTGGTTTGGCTCAGTGGATAGAGCATCGGTCTGTGAACTGAAGGGTCCCAGGTTTGATTCCGGTTAAGGGCATGTACATTGGCTGCGGGCACATCCCCAGTAGGGGGTGTGCAGGAGGCAGCTGGTCGATGTTTCTCTCTCATTGATGTTTCTAACTCTCTGTCCCTCTCAATTCCTCTCTGTGTAAAATCAATAAAATATATATTTTTTAAATAAAAATAAAGAGTGAATGAATGTCTTAGGCTTTGTGAGCCACATGTTGTGTGAAGGTCTATTCAATTCTGCCATCACAGCATGAAAGAAGCCACAGATAATAGGTAAAGAAATATGATTATGTTCCAATAACAATGTATTTAAGAATGCTGATAACTGAACTTCACATAATTTTTTTTTAATCCTAATCCAAGGATAATTTTCCATTGATTTTTAGAGAGAGTTAAAGACAGAGAGAAATATCTGAGATGTGAGAGTAACACATACATTGGTTGCCACCTGCACGAACCCCAACCAAGGCCCAGGTAAGGGAGGAGCCTGCAACTGTGGCACATGCCCTTGACCGGAATCAAACCAGGGCCCTTTGGTCTGCAGGCCAACGCTCTCTCCATTGAGCCAAATTGGCTAGGGCAAGTTTCACATAATTTTCACGTGTCAGAAAATGTTAGCCTTATTTTTGTTTCACCATTAAAAACTACAAAAACCATTCTTAGCTCATGAGCTATCTAAAAATAGGCAATGAACTGTTTAGACTACTAAGCACTGAAACTATGGCTAACTCTGAGAAAAATAGCTAGGCAGGTTAAACTGAAAGAAGACATATATCGGCATCACTCACCAGAGGAATATCTACTCCCCAGAGCTCACCACCCAATTTACAGTTAATCTGCAGTAAAATTTTCTGGGCCACACTCCGAAGCTTGGTGGGCTGACCAATGGTTCGGACATTGATGACCTATAAAGGGTCCAAACAAAATATGAGGAAAGAGAACACTATCAACCTCTCAGAAAATTTAAATAATTCAAAGTATATACTACATTTGTTTTAAAAACCTTTGGTTAGCAGTTAAAACACTGTATTAATACTGGTAGTTCTAATTCTAGAGTTTCTTGGCAGGCGAAAATCTCATGGAGAGTAAAATTTTTTTTTTCAGTCTCCATGGGAGAACAGCTTTCCCCTCTTTTTTAAAAAAAAAATCCTCACTCAATGATATGTTTTACTGATTTTAAAGAGGGATGTGAGGAGGGGGAGAAGGAGGAGGAGGGAGGGAGGGAGGGAGGAAGAAACACTGGTATATGAGAGAAACACTGATTGGTTGCCTCCCATATGTGCCCCCACTGGGAATAGAACCCACAACCTAGGTATGTGCCCTGACTGGGAAATGAACTGACAGCCTTTCAGTGCATGGAACAATGCTCCAACCCATTAAAGCACACTGGCCGGGGAAGCTTTCCCCTCTTTGAGTGAAGCCTATACTCTCAGAACCCAATCATGTGAAACCACCTAGAGACTCATCATGAAACAAGCAAAGTACTCATTTGAGAATATGAAGGCAACGTTTATGAAGAGCATCTGCTATTCTCCCGGTTCCTCTAATGAGGGGCAGGCTTTAAAGGAGGATGTTCACATACTACATTCTAATAGTTACTTGAGTACTTTTGTACACATGTATCTATCCCTTTTTTTCCAAGCCTCAAGGGAAGCTTGTTTCCATCTCTGCCTCCTGCCCAGCTCCCACTCACCTGCGAAGGCACTGGAGCTTGCACACAGCACAGCTTTTTAATGGCCCCATAGAGATCGTCACGTGTGCCCATGATGATGCACACAACCATCTGTATCTTCCCCTTGAGGAGATAAAGTACATATAAGTTTGGCTTGGGAACTCTGACAGGGCTCAGTCAGAGGCAGTTTGAGAGTCTGCAAAGCCAAGGCACCTTTAAGGAAGAGAAAGGAATGAAACAAAGATGGTGGACATTCTACCACAGAAATGGGTCCTTGAACCTGAGTGTTGGGTCCAGGGGTTCTTTGCATAAACATGTAATATGTTACCAAAAATTATCAAGAGCAGATTACCTTTTATTTATTAGGAGACTTAAGATGCCTAGAAAAGGGCCAGACTTGAACATATGCAAGGGTTACTTATTACTTGCTCTTTTCAAGTCTCTGTAATATTTTTACCACTCTCTTTAGTAAACCAAGTACCTTATTACCTTCATACCACAGAACTTTAACTGAGAACACATGGAATACAATACCACAAAAAGCAATCAGGGCCAAATGCAGATGGAAATGAAGCTATTGCCAAACCTGTAAGTAGCTCTTTTTCTCCTACTCTCTGATTAGGAGAAAGAATGATTTTGTCAGCAGCACATCTCATATCAGCATGCTCTATCCCTCACTGCTTTGGAGATCCAGTATTAAAAACAGAGGATCTTTTGCCCAGATGGCATGGCTCAGTGGTTGCGCATGGACCTATGAACCAGAAGGTCTTGGCTGGATTCATAGTCAGGGCATATGCCCGGATTGTGGGCTTGATCCTCGGTATGGGGTGTGCGGGAGACAGCTATCATTGATGTTTCTATCTTTCTCCCCTCTCCCTTTCTCTATCAAATCAATAAAAATATATTTTTTAAAACCCAGAGGATCTTTTAAAGTGTGAATAAAGAAAAGTGGTACTCCAGTGAAATAAAGTTGACAATCCTTTATAGCAAAAATGGCTATAAATGGTGAACCAATAGTATTCTATTCCAATTCAAGATTCGTGTTAGATTAAGACTTCTCAGAGGACATTCCAGCAACCACATCAAAGAACTTCCAAAGTCATGTGGAACAAAGGCTGCACATAGGGAGCTTATGGGCTGAATCTAGCCAATTGATGTGGCTTTTCAGTCCTTATATTGACTTGTAAGTTTTTAAGTTTTAACATTTAAACATAGGGAGATGCATATATATGCAAATCTAGATTTTTGGCTTCTATTAAAAACAAATTAAAAATCAATTTGACAATGCTGGGCTTTTTTTTTAATCTGCAGTTATGGGGTTTAGTCTTTGGTTCATTACAGTCCCCTCCTGGCCCACTCCACTCACCTGTGTTATTCATCTGGCTCCAGTAGACATCTGAATTTGTGACCTCTAACAAAGAGCATAATAAAACAGAATACCATAGAGATTACAGAGAGACAGATAAGACCAATATGAGTTAAATCTGGTAAACACTGTGAATGAAACTCATATCCATGCTGCATGAAAGCCGTTAGCAACACACACTCCAGAAGAGAACAAGAGAAGTTATGAAATGAGGGAGTTGATGCGCTAAACTGTTAGATTTTTTTTGTTTTTTAAATATATTTTATTTATTTATTTATTTATTTATTTATTTATTTATTTATTTTACAGAGAAGAAGGGAGAGGGAGAGAGAGAGTGTTAGAAACATCAATGAGAAAGAAACATCAATCAGCTGCCTCCTGCATTCCTCCTACCAGGGATATGCCCGCAACCAAGATACATGCCCTTGACCAGAATCGAACCTGGGAACCTTGAGTCTGCAGGCTGATGCTCCATCCATTGAGCCAAACTGACTAGGGCTGTTTTTATTTTGTTTTTAAAACAGGGCAGACTTTATCAACGACCAGGCCTGGGGGGAGGGAGGCCACAGCAAAGTACATAGGCATGAACAGTCAGGAGGAAATTAATATAATTCTAGTATTAATTTCACAAGAACCAATCTTCAAGGACTAATTACTTATAAAATCTTTCCTCCGCTTTTGTTTCCTCCTTAATATTCTTCCTGTTTTATGTACATACAGATAAGAACTGCAGGTCTCAACAACTGAGATGTGAGGACTATGACCTGTTCAGCTCCAGTGATCCTGATTCACTATCAGCATGGAGCTGATGGGCCATCTGCCAAGTTCATCACTAGAGCAATTTGAATCTAGAACCAGACTAGACTGGAACAGCTCAGTATTGAATCGTGCAAGATGGCACCTGGCCCAAGAAGTTGCTTTCTGAGCACGACATGTTCTATACAGATAACGAACTAAAGTTAAGTCAGCTATTCTGAGTCAATTATGTGATGAACAGAACACTACAGTGAGTAAGAGTGCCAACATAAAATGAGAAAAGCAAAATTAACTGAAGGATATGATGGCTATTTTCTCTTCTTCCCTTCTTTTTTTAATTGATTTTTTTCTCTTTTTAGAGAGAAAGGAAGGAATAGGGAGAGAAACATAAATGTGAGAGCAAAACATGGATCAGCTACCTCCTGCATGCTCCCTACCTGGGATCAAACCTGCAATCAAACCAGCAACCTTTTGGTGACAGGACAACATCCAATCAACTGAGCCACACCAGTCAGGGAAAGGCTACTTTCTTAGCCTTTCGGGGCAGTTCAGTATTTCATGTGTAGATAAATAGGACACAGGTTTCTGGACTAATTGATAACCAAAGTTATTTAAAAGCAAGTATTCAGCCGAAACCGGTTTGGCTCTGCGGACTGAAAGGTCCCAGGTTCGCTTCTGGTCAAGGGCATGTACGTTGGTTGTGGGCATATCCCCGGTAAGGGATGTGCAAGAGGCAGCTGGTCGATGTTTCTCTCTCCTCGGCGTTTCTAGCTCTCTATCCCTCTCCCTTCCTCCTCTCTGTAAAATATCAATAAAAAAATATATTTAAAAATAAATAAATAAATAAAATAAAATCTGTTTAAAATAAAAATAAAATAAAATCAAGTATTTAAAGTGTTTTAGAACATGCATCCTATAAATCTACTCAAATTAAATTAATTTATTACCTCAGCTCGCAACATGGATTGAATGGTTCTGACATAGGTCTCTATTCGATCATCCTTTAGTTCAATCCAGGCCGGAGGGCTCAAGCGCATGCCAATGGGGCCAGCTACCTTCTCTAACATGGTTACCAGTTCTTGGGCCTGGTCCATTGCTCTCTTCGGGTAAAAGAGTGCCCAGAAGTGCATGGGGACCTAGGAACAACCACCACAAGCTGCTTTTAGTACTTCCCGTAACTTGAACACTCCAGACTCATATCTCGGAAATGTTATTAGAAAATAAATTGCTTTTTACTCTCTCAGCTTGAGTCCTGCCTTATCTACTTCCTATTACAACACAGATGTGTGTGTGTGATAAGTAAATTGAGGCACAGAATACTATACTATACTATACTATACTATACTATACTATACTATACTGCAACGAGAATAGCAGCTCTAAAACCAGACCTAATAATATGGGTAATACTAATACAAGGTTGAAGAAATAAAGCTGCACATACAAGAATGTTTACTGTATGATTTAAAACAGCTGAAACAAATCTATGTTGTGAGAAGCCAGGGTAGTGGCTATTCTTGGTATGTAAGGTGAGAGGTAGATAGTAACTAGGAGCATGGATGGGTGCTTCGGGACACTGGTAAAGTTGTTTCTTAACCCTTGGTGTGGATCATTCAGGTCTATTTAATTTGTGAAAATTCATCAGCTATACACTTGAAAGTGTAGTTTTTTTCTTTAAATATATTGTATTTCAATGAAAAGTTTTAGAAACAGATGTGTGTACTTTTTGTGTGGCTATAAAGTCCAAGTTAGCTGAAACATTTCAAAATAATTATATACCATTTTGTTCTTTGGTTTTCTTGGTAGGAAAATTTTAATTCTGCTTGTCTCCGAATAAAAACACCTTCTAAAAACAAACAAACAAACAAACAAACAAACAAACACCTTCTAGGAACCCCCAGGGAAAATGGGGAAAGAAAGAGTAAGTGGTAGGCTGGCGCTATATGCAATTTATGTTCTTTTCCTAAGTCCTTGATCAAACAAAGGGCTTACCTCTAACAACTCTTAATCTATCAAATAGCTTACTCTCTTTAAAGGACCCTGTTTAGTTGATAATTAAGGATGGGAATTCAGTTGAAACTTTCTCTCAAAAAGAGGACACTAAACCATTCCCTCTTCCTAATTTCCACCATTTTAGGAATACTGGTCTTCTCTTTACCACCTTGAAAATCACTTACAGTCAAGATAGAGAGGTCCCTGGTTATTTCCTTAATCCAGTTTACTTCCTGAGATGTGATAAATGAAGTATTTCTTAAGTTGATTCTTTCCATTGGAAGAACACGTCCTTCAATCTAAACAGAAAAGAAAGTATCTATGACATGAGCCATCTGCAAACACTATTTAGGAAAACACTAACATTATTCTCTCCGGGGTCTGGTCAGCTCCACAACATAGACTTGCCCATTACAACTTCTAGAAATGGCAGGAAAATGAAGCTGCTAGCAGTTAGAATATGTCAATAAAAATCCTGGACATATGCAGGTAAAATTTTTATAGGCATTGCTGTTTAGTTATTGAAGCTTCCAACACAGTCTCCTAATAAAGGGATTAGAAAACATTACCTTTTTAGAAGCAGAGAATACATGTAAAATAACTATAATTTTAAAGTTAACAGGAGCATAATCTTTAAATATATTTTAAGGGAAAAATTAAAAATTAAAGGAAAAGCCCAGCCAGCATGGCTCAGTGGTTGAGTGACCTATGAACCAGAAGGTCACGGGTTCGTTTCCCAGTCAGGCACATGTCCAGATTGCAGGCTTGATCCCAAGTGTGAGCATGCATGAGGCAGCCGATCAATGATTCTCCCTCATCATTGATGCTTCTATCTTCCTCTCTCTTCCTCTCTGAAATTAATAAAAAAATATTTTTTAAAAATTAAAGGTAAAGTTTCTTAATAATGCTGAACATAAACTACTATTCTACTTTATACAAAGAGAAAGCTGAAACGAAAAGGCATAAACATAATAAGAGAACAAATTAAAGTGAAGAATAACAAATCAGTTTCCCCTAAATAGAAAGATAACTAGGTTAATGATATATCAGTACGATGGACTACTTTACAACCTTTAAAATCACTTTTTAACTACATGTAATATAATCCTATTTTGCAAAAAAATAAATTGCAAGATACACACCATACAAAATTGAATGAGTCCACACTCAGTAGTGATTATCTCTGAGGAAGTGTAATTATGGAGAATTTTTACTTTGTATGACTTTTACTGTTTACTTTTTTTTTTTAAAAGATTGTATTTTATCTATGATCAAATATTTTTTAATTTTAACAATGAATAACAATACTCCTATTAGCAAGAGTATAAAGAATCAGACTCATCTTATGCTTATGAAAGTAATTTGGACTGGAAAACTGAAAATGAGATAAAATTTAAGTCAATATTCCTTTGCTATGTAACTGACTAGAAATTAACAGCAAGAACTCCAAAATAAAGATAATCTAGGAAGTTATCAGTTAGTCTCACAAAGTTCTGAAATCCCTGTTTTCCTATCCCATCACATCTTCTGGGTTACCTTATGTACATCATCCTGCAGATAGAGTCCCCAACGTGTTAGTTCACTACTGGCTATCTCATTCTTCGAAATTCTCTGTATCAAGCATTTCAAAGCTTTATGGTGCTGTTTGGGGCTCAGGTTGATCTGCTGGGTCAAATCCTAAATAAAATTAAAATGGATATAATTAGTTGTATTACTTTCTTCAATATGAGGTTAAATAAATCCCAATGAACCATAAATGTTCCATAAGAAACCTCCTTCACATTCAAATCCGTAGAAATTTTCAAATATCTTTAAGGACTTTAATAAATACTCTCAGTAATGTCAATAAAGTGTAAGATTAAATTTTTAAATCGTACAAGAATTTTAAATGTTATTGTTTCTCCCTCATGGCATCTAAGTCTTATCTCTTTTTCAAAGCTATGTTCTAAACTTAAGATTTCTAAAAGATTCTATGAAACAGGAGCAAGGGGGGCTTGATTTTACCTATTTAACATTTGGGGGGAAATGCCCTGTGCCAGACACGCAGCTAAACAAAACAAAATGAAAGACCAGCCCTTTAATGTCAACATGTTATTGTTTTTTTGTCAAGAGATTAGTTCAGGGTAGTTGCTTTCTAAGTATTTATTGTTGAATGAATATCTAACAAGTTTGTATGAAGATTCTGAATCATATAAGTGAGTTCTTTCTTTATTCTTCTGGGACTAATAAATTATACAGCCGTTGTTCCCTGGGAGGCAGTCAGGGTCAGTAAGTCTATGGAACTATAAAGATAGCTTTGTGATTATAAAGTCATTAAGCAACTGGTAGTTGTAAGGAAGAAACCTTGACCCACATATTAAAAGCACAAGTATCAGAAGGTAAATAAAAAAGAAAACTCCTACGTGAATTTAAGCATCACTTCAGATGCTTTATGATGTTACTAAAAATAATATGTGACATCTGAGAAAAACAAGGTCCCAGGATAAGATAGACATGGATTGGCAAAGGGAGGCAGCAGGTATCTTGATTGTGGAAAGCCCCAGGAGTCACGGAGTGTGGAGATGAAGCACTCAGGAGTCTGGACCCATCTTTGCTCCTATTTCCTACAGAAACTGAGCCTAAAACTTCCAGGATACTCCCAGGCCCCACAAGATAAACTTCTGACCTCATCCTCTGACTCGCTTTTTCCTACATTAACTCCTCCATCCCTTCAAATAAACTGAAGGTTTATAAAAATGTTTAAAAAAATGTAGTGCTCCCAAAGAATCTCATTTATGATCAAATGACCAGTTTGCAGTCATCTATCTGCTTGGAAAGAGTGAATTATGTTTCCTTTTACCTTATGTTCCAGTCACTCTACTGTTGTAATAACCTTCAAAAGGAAGTTCTGATTGGCTTTTCCAGTGTGCGAGAAGGGAGATGGATGGATCATGTTTTACAGAAAGGAAAACTAAAGCTTGGAAGAATGGAACTGCCCAGGTAAAGATGCAAACCTAGCACAATTCTGGCTCAATCTTCTCTTGAAAAGGTCTCCCACTCAGAGCAGGCATTTCTCACCTTCATAGCCCTGAAGTCCTTCTTCATCCTCTCAGGGATTCCAGTCATGAAGGAAAGCTCAGGCAGCAGCAGGATTTCACCTTTCAGCAGCTTTGAATAGATAACAGAGAGGGAAAATAAAGCAGGAAAAGAGCATCCTGTTCTCTGGCCTGTACAGGACATGCTATCCCCAGTGCTGGCCCTGCAGGGCTATCACTGGCAAACTAAAGAATATAAAACCCCAAAGGGCAGTGAAACACTGTAAGTACTTTATCCTTTTACCTTCAGTCACAATACTCATAGCTGTTGTATTAGGTAAAAGAAAAAATATTGAGCATCAAAAGGAGAGCAAGAACTAGAAAAAAAATTTCCAATCTTCTTGAGCCTCCAGACAAGCCAAGACAACACATTCTACCAAGCTGGTGCCTCTACCTTATCTTAGCTTATCAATCTTCAGCACTCACACTTAAAACAGAAGAGTCAGGTGTCAAGGCACTTTGCTCTGGTCCCAGTCCTCTTAAAATGTCTAAAACTTCCCTAATGAATCCAGTGTTTTAATCTTCTTTTGCAACAAATTCTGCTGATTGCTTAATCTAATTAGCTCAAATGAATATTTAGCTTCTCATGTAAATCTCAAAAGCAAGTCCTATGGAGGTAGCCCCTATGGCTAGGAGACAGACAAAACTCTGCAACAGCTTCCCCAAGCACACTGTAGCCATTGCTTCTTGGCGCCTAGGGCTGTGAGGAAGGCCAAGAGCGTCCGATGGGCACCCCTCACTCACCATCCCCTGGTTATTCTGTCTCTCACTGGGCCTGTGGATCAACAGTGGCTGGTCCTCTTCCTTAATTGTAATCCCATAGTTTTTGCTACAGTAGGACAAAAGCAGGAAAAAAGTTCAAAAGCAGTATCACTACTCTCATAGCAACATAATCTGAGTCTCTTAAAACCAGACTGAGGTACAAATTTGCCTAATACCCTTGTCAAGGGCCCACTGGAAACTCATCATAGCATATTTATATAACTGGAAAATGTAGGTTCAAATTATTGTTGCAATTAAACAGAGGAGAAACAGGCTAATGGTCACAGAAAGACTATTTTTTTTTAAATTTCTTTATTGATTAAGGTGTTACATATGTGTCCTTATTCCCCCATTACTAAGGTGACCAGACGTCCCATTTTTAACAATTTGTCCTGCATCCCGTGGCGTTTTAAAAAAGTCTAAAAGATTTAAAAGAATCTTTCAAAAAATCGGGACTTTTTTAAAACGCCGTGGGACGTGGGACAAATTGTTAAAAATCGGGACTGTCCCGCCAAAAGTGGGACGTCTGGTCACCTTACCCACTACCCACCCCCATCCCCCTTGGAAAGACTGTTTAAAACTGCATCAGGTTAAAGGGCTTAGGCAACTAGAAAGGCAAAATGATAGTTGAATGATTAATGATTTGCATTTAATCTCTCCAACCAGACTTCTAATAAAACCAGCAAAGGAAATACAATCCAAACCTATGAGATAAATTATGAAATAACTTCCAAAAGTACTAAAAGGAATGAAACTGTAAGGGTAGCATAATCAGGTCCAATCCCACAAAGGAGTAAATTCATTCTTATGTGCATTACCAATGTAATTCTTTTAAAAGTATCCCACTGTATGCCACTATGGAACTCAATATGCTGCTACAGAATGGCAGACTATGTCCCCGCCCAACCACGCCCAGTCTATTCTCTCTACCTGTAGTATTCCAAGAATGAGATCTCCTTCCCATCAGACATTGTGAAGCTATCTTTTGGAGTCTTATTCCAATCGACATCATCAATCCGATAGGTGCGATTGTTGTATCGGGTTATGACAATATTGCCAACCAGAAGCTTAGTGCACTCATCCTGGAAGTTTTCTTTGTTCTGCTGATACATGGCATGCCTTTGGAAAGACAAAAGACGTTTGGATCACTTTTGTATATACACAGAGCAATATGAAAGGGATTGGTGGTACAAATAAGTACTTTAGAGGTACACTCACAGCTGTATAGCACCAAAAGGCTTCAGTTGTCTCTTTTAAGAGAGAGGAACTCAACTCTTCTCTTTTTAACATTACAAAAACAAAAACAATCAACAAAAAATAGCGAAAGAATAAAAACCAACTGAAAAACAGCAACTACAAATGAATAAAATTCACTGTATTCTTAAAACCAGTGATAGGGCTGCAGTTCCGCTATGGGAATTTGAGCCTGAGCACATGCATGGACACTGGGAATCTATTTCCTGCAACACAATCATGTGACCAAACTCCATGCCCACACAGGGTGGCAGTGCCGCCTGTCTTTGATTTTTGGCAAGCACACACGGAATTCTGTTTTCCGCAGCACAGGAATGGACCTCCTGCCAATGCAGTGCAACTAGGCAACCCAGTTCCCCAAGCAGACCAGGGACCCTGATTCTCCACACAAGAGGCAGCACTGAGCACCAGTGACTTCACTCTGTTTCTCATCAGGCACGCCTGGGATCCCTGATCCCCAGTTCATTCACACTAAGGGCCAGTGACTCCAATTCTTGGCGCATGCACACACAGGGACCCTGATTCTCGGCACAAGGCCACACTAAGCAACAGAGACTCTGATACTCAATTCTCAGTGCTGGCACAGGGGAACTCTGACTTCTAGTGCGCACTAGGGGACTCTGATTTTTGACACACACCAGTGGGGTCTCTTTTTCAGTACAGTGCAGGCAGAGTCCCTAATTCTAGGTGCGCGCACGAGGCCACACTGAGTGCCAGTGACTCTAATCCTGGGCCAGTGCAGCTCCCACCAATCCATGGCAGCCACATGTCTTGGTGTTGGAGCTCTTCAGCGACACTCAGGTGGTGCGAAACTCCCAATGCACACGGCCCAGACCCACACAACTTGATGTTTGAACCTTCTGGTGATAGTTAGAAACAATCCCCAGAGGAAAAGAAATGAGAAATTACCAAGAAAGAAAATAAGTGAAACGGAAGCATGCAACATGACAGAAAAATAATTCAGAGTAATGGTAATATAGTTCAAACACTGGATGGATGAGAAAAGCAACAACATATGCAAAATTCAGAAAGAAATAAAAAGTGATATAGCTACAATAAAAAAAAACTATGGAAGGTTTCAACAGAAGGCTAGAAGAAGCAGAGGACTGAATTAGAGAGTTAGGAGATAAGGTAGCGAAACAAGCCCAATCTGAACAGCAATTGGAGAAAAAAAATTAAAAAGCAGGAGGAGAGCCTAAAGGAGCTTTGGGACAACACAAAACTAAGTAACATATGTATAAAAGGGCTGCCAGAAGGACAAGAAGAGCAGCAAGGATTAGAAAATCTATTTGAAGAAATAATGGCAGAAAACTTCCAATATGGGGAAGAAAAAAGTTACACAAGTACAGAGTCCCACGCAAGATGAATCTCAAAAGACATACACCAAGACACATCATAATTACAATGGCAAATGTTAAAGACAAAGAGAGAATCTTAAAGGCTGCAAGAGAGATACAGAGTGCTACCTACAAAGGATCCCCCATCAGATTATCAAATGATTTCTCAACAGAAACACATCAAGCTACAATAGAAGGGAATGGAAGGAGGTATACAAAGTGATACAAAGCAAAGGACTGAATCCAAGAATACTCTATCCAGCAAGACTATCAATCGAAATTGAAGGGGAAATCAGAAACTTTGCAGACAAAAAAAAAAAAAAGACAAAAAAAAAAAAAAGAAGGCAAAAGGAGTTATCACTACAAAACCAGCAAAGCAAGAAATGCTAAAGGGAATGCTGCAAAAAGAAGAAATATAAAGGAAAGAAGGAACACAAGCATAAAGTATAGAAATGGCTGCAAACAAGTACCTATCAATAATAACATTAAATGTAAATAGATTAAATGCTCCAATCAAAAGACATTGAGTAAATGAATGGATAAGAAAGCATGACCCATATAAATGCTATCTACAGGAGACCCACCTCAGAACAAGGGACTCACACAGACTGAAATGAAGGAATAGAAAAATATCTATCAGACAAACAAAATTTTTTAAAAAGCTGGGGTAACAATACTTATATCTGACAAAATAAACCTCAAAGTGAAGATCATAACAAGAGACAAGAAAGGACACTTCATAATTCTAAAGGGTCGATACAACAAGAGGATATAACTCAGGTAAACATTTATGCACCCAATGCAGAAGCACCCAAATACATTTAAAAAAAAAATCCTGGAAGATATCAGGAGAGAAATTGACAGCAACACAATCATAGTAGGAGACTTTAACAACCCATTAACATCACTGGATAATATTCTAGACAAAAAATTAGCAAAGAAACATCAATCCTAAATGACTTACTAGATCAGATGGACTTAATCGACATCTTTGGAACATTCCACCCCAGAACTACAGAATGTACGTTCTTCTCCAGTACACATGAAATATTTTCAAAGACAGACCACTTATTGGGACACAGGCAAAGTCTCTCCAAATTCAAGAGGATTGAAATCATATCAAGCATCTTCACAGATCACAATGGCATAAATTAGAAATCAACTACAATAAAAATAATCATAAAAATTCAAACACTTGGAGGCTGAATAGCACAGTATTAAACAAAGAGTGGATTACCAAAGAGATCAAAGAAGACATAAAACACATCTTGGAAACAAATGACAATGAAAACACAACAATCCAAAATTTCTAGGACACAGTGAAAACAGTCCTAAAAGGGAAGTTCATAGCATTACAGGCCAACCTGGAAGGAAGGAAGGAAGGAAGGAAGGAAGGAAGGGGGGAGGGGAGGGGAGGGGAGGGGAGGGGAGGGGAGGGGAGGGGAGGGAGGGGAGGGGAGGGGAGGGGAGGGGAGGGGAGGGGAGGGGAGGGAGAAGGGGAGGGAGGGAAGGGAGGAGGGAAAGGAAGGAAGGAAGGAAGGGAGGGAGGGAAGGAAGGAAGGAAGGAAGGAAGGAAGGAAGGAAGGAAGGAAGGAAGGAAGGAAGGAAGGAAGGAAGGAAGGAAGGAAGGAAGGAAAGGAAAGAAAAGAGAAAAGAAAAGGAGAAAGGAAAGGGGAAAGGAAAGGGGAAAGGAAAGGAAAGGAAAGGAAAGGAAAGGAAAGGAAAGGAAAGGAAAGGAAAGGAAAGGAAAGGAAAGGAAAGGAAAGGAAGATTGGTAATAAACCATATAACTCTGCAATTTGAAGAATTAAAAAAGGAAATAATAAAGATTAGAGCGGAAATAAATGACATAGAGACCAACAAAACAATACAAAAGATTAATGAAACCAAGAGCTGGTTCTTTGAAAGGATAAACAAGATTGATGAACCTCTAGCCAGGCTTACCAAGAAGCAAAGAGGACCCAAATAAACGAAATCAGAAATGAAAGAGGTAAAACAACAGACCCCACAAAAATATTAAGAACTGTAAAAAAATACTATGAGCAATTCTAACCCAACAAACTGGGTCAATCTAAAAGAAATGAGTATATTCCTAAAAAAATATGACCTTCCAAAACTCAACCAGGAGGAATAAAAAAATCCGAATAGGCTGATAACTATGGAGGAAATTGAAGCAGTAATCAAAAAACTTCCAACAAACAAAAGCCCTGGACAAGACGGCTTCACAGGGGAGCTTTTTGTTGTTGTTGTTTGTTTGTTTTTTAATATATTTTGATTTTTTTTTTTATTTTTTTATTTTTTTTATTTTTTTTTTTACAGAAAGGAAGGGAGAAGGATAGAGTTAGAAACATTGATGAGAGAGAAACATCGATCAGCTGCCTCCTGCACACCCTCCACTGGGGATGTGCCCGCAACCAAGGTACATGCCCTTGACCAGAATCGAATCCGGGACCCTTCAGTCTGCAGGCTGACGCTCTATCCATTGAACGAAACCAGCTAGGGCCACAGGGGAATTTTATCAAACATTCAAAGACGAAATAAAATCTATCTTCTTCAGACTATTCAAAAAAATTCAAGAGGAAGGAGCACTTCCAAGCTCTTTCTACGAAGCCAGCATTACCCTAATCCCAAAACCAGATAAAAACAATATCCCTCATGAACATAGATGCCAAAATCCTCAACAAAATTCTAGTAAATCGGATCCAGCATTACATTAGAAGGATCAGACACCATGACCAAGTGGGATAATTTCTGGGGATACAAGGATGGTACAAGATCTGCAAATCAATAAATATGATACACCTCATAAACAAACTAAGAAATAAAACCCAAATAATCATATTCATTGATGCAGAAAAAGCATTTGATAAAATCCATCACCCTTTCTTTATTTAAAATATATTTTTATTGATTTTTTACAGAGATGAAGAGGGATAGAGAGTTAGAAACATCGATGAGAATCATTGATCATCTGCCTCTTGCACACTCACTACTGGGGATGTGCCCGCAACCAAGGTATATGCCTTCACCAGAATCGAACCTGGGATTTTTCAGTCCACAGGCCGACACTCTATCCATTGAGCCAAACCGGTTTTGGCCCAACACCCTTTCTTTATAAAAACTCTCAGCAAGGTGGGAATAGAAGGATCATATCTCAACATAATAAAAACCATACATGACAAACGCACAGCCAACATCATACTCAATGAGCAAAAACTAAAACCATCTCCCCTAAGAACAGGAACAATATAGAGATGCCCATTCTCACCACTCCTGTTCAACATAGTGCTGGAAGCACTAGCCATTGCGATCAGATAAAAATAAATAAAAGGCATCCAAATTGAAAAAGAAGTAGTAAAACTGTCCTTTTTCACAGATGACATGATATTGTACATAGAAAACTCCAAAGACTCCATAAAAAAGACTTAATAAATTAATCCAGCAATGTAGCAGGATACAAAATTAACACCTAGAAGTCTATGACTTTTCTATACACCAAAAATGAACTCAGAAAGAGAAATTAAAAAA